TCCTTAACACTCATTCACAGACATGCACCCACCCCTGCCTTTCCAGGTCTACTTTGAGTTTATTCTGTGTTCTGGATATCATTCTGATGGGCTTATCAACTACACTGAGGTATAGTTCATACACAACAAACCATCCATTTAAAGTGTATGGTTCAATGAATTTTGAGTTTTGAAGCCACTACCATAATGATTTGGCACATTCCTATCACCCCTAAAAGAGCAGTAATTTTTACTTAACACTTACCTTGCATTTCCTGTGAGCCAGGCTCTACTTAAATACTTTTAAAATGTTAGCCCATCTAATACTCATAGCAACCTTAGTATAGTGTCTGTTGTCTGAACCCGGAAGAATGGAAACAGGCACAGAAAGATTGACTTGCCCAGATTGGTGTGGTTAGGTAGAGTTCAGACTAGATGTAGGATCTGTGCTGCTCACCTCTGGGTTCTGTTCATTCTCTCTCCCCACCCCACATCTTCATTCATTTATTCATTCACTCATTTAAGAATCAGCTGTGGGCCAAGTGTTGGGGTAGGAACTAAAGTAGGAAAGCCAGAGACAGGGCAAAGGATCAATAAGTAAGCTAGTACTGCATGAGTAAACCTAGATCAATGTGTTGTTCTGACTGTGGGAAGCCCAGGTCCCAGAAAGCACACTATGTAACAGGCTCTCAGAGTGCCTGAGCCTAGCTCCCACCGAGTTCTGTATGTAAATCATGCAGAAACTCTTTACCACACATTAGCATCTCTAAATACTACAGTGGGTGTCTTAGGGTTTCTATTGCTGCAGCTAAATACCATGACCAAAAAGCAAGTTGAGGAGGGAAGGGTTTATTTGGCTTACACTTGCATGCAGTTCACCATCAAAGGAATTCAGGACAGGAACACAAACTGGGAAGGAACCTGAAGGTAGCAGCTAATGGAGAGATTATGGAGGGGTGCTGCTTACTAGCCTGTGTCCCCAAGACTGCTCAGTCTGCTTTCTTACAGAACCCAGGACTACCTGTCCAGAGGTGTACCCACCACCCACAGTGGGCTGGCCTGGACCCTCCCCCATCAATCACTAAATAAGAAAATACAGACTTGTGTGCAGCCCGATTGTATGGAGACATTTTCTTAATTGAAAGTCACTCATTCTTCTCCAGTGGCTCTAGCTTGTGTCTAGTTGACTTAAAAATAGCCAGCACAGTGAGGATAGGGCTGGTATTGTCCTCTTCTTTTTTCTCACCTGGGAACCTGGAGGGTTTGTGATGCCCAGTACAGTGCTTGAGGCTACCCACGTGGTATGGAAGAGCTAGAGGTGACTCTTAGGAAAGTAATGTCCTTTCAGTTGCTTCTGAGCATCTCATGTGCTTTAAGTTGTCCCTTTCCTGACCCAATGACAGGTCAAACCAAGACTGACAAAGCAAGCAGGAAAAACATTTTAATATTTTAATGAGCACTATTGATGGGGTGCTGCCGTTTTTTGTGTTTCTGTGTTAAGAAATGCCATTTGGAAAGCTGGTGTATATGTCAGTGTTGTTTGGTGCTTTTTTCCCCCCCTTCTTCCCGTTCTGAGGAGAAGCCTATGGAGTCTGGTGGGGGAGGGGTTTGCAGCTGGCAGGAGCCTTGGCATATGCTGTAACTAAAAAGAGAGGGAATGTGTTGGTGGGACAAGCTACCGGAGAGCTGTCTCGGTGTGCTGCAGTACTCGTAAGAGTTCTAATTGGGTAGGATTTTTGGAGGACTATTTTGACATCTGCTCATGTCTTTGCTGATTTTTCTTCACTTAGAGTAGGAAACACAAGCTGTGGATAAAATGGCTTTAAAATAATTGGAAGAAAAGATATCTCTCCAAGATGAATTCACCAGGGACATTTCTTAAGGAGTAGAAACTAAAACCACTTCTAGGAATCTGTCCTGAAGCACAGAGCTTCCAGCCTTCAGACTTCATGACCATGTCATATATATTAATGTCTTAAATGCTTGAAGTAACTCAGCCAACTGGCCTTGGTTGAGTTTGCCTCCATGTAACAGAACACTCTGGAACAATTAGCAACTGTCACTTAGCTTTTAATGAAGTGGAGCATTGCTTATGCTGTAATCAGTGAGAAAAATCAAGGGAGGCAGGGGCCCTGTGAAGGATTTAGAATGGTGCTAGGGAGGAGGGAACACAAAAAGAAATAATTTAGAATGATGCCCCCCCCAAAATAAGCTTCTTCTCTGAGCTTTGGGTCTTTCCGTTTCTGCATAGTAGGCATAGGTAATGTTTATGTTACAAAAGGCAAGTGTGGTTTTGCATAAGAGGAAGCGGGCCCTGAGAGAGTCGGCTGTGACTGCCTGCCTGCATGTGTGCTCAGTGTGAATCCTGAGCACATGGGTCTGGGAATCTCTTCAGATAGGTGTTGGGGTCAGACTCTTCCACAGCCAGGTTTGCTGCCCTCCCTAGCAGTATGGCACTGGGAAATTTGCTTAGTCTCTGAGCCTCCATCCTTGCCTTGAAGATACTAGGCTCTCCTCAATATGATGCTGAAGAGAAATGAATTAGCACTCAGGAGCTGTTCTTCTCCACCAGCACTCCCACCCCATAGCCCTGAACCTTTGGGCAGAGAGCACCCTCCAGCCAAACCGCCTGTGATTCTTTCCTTGGGAACTCTGAGCTTCAGGAAGCCCCTTGAGCCTATGCCAGCCCCTTTAGAAGAGGCCTTGCTGCCAGCAGGGCAGCATTGTCCCATGAGAGGAAACTGCCGAACCAGCTCCTGCCTGGAGCCCAGTGATGGGGACAATTTGGTTACTAAGGGGACCCTGGCCTGCTAAGTCAGGAAAGGAGGCCAGGGTTTTTCCTCTTCTTCAGTCTGCTGCCATTGTTGAAAAAGTAAACACTCCACACAGCTTAACCGGCAAGTCCTCCAGGCAGGAGTGGAAGGAAATCACAGGCCTGCTCCAGCCAGCCTCTGAGAGCCCACAAGGGCTAGTCTGTGCTGCTGGGACAACTCTTGGAACACAGAAACAGCTGGGACAACTCTTGGAACACAGAAACAAGGCCCAATTCTGATCTACACTCAACACCTGCTCAAAGGACCTTTCAGCCCCAGGACTACTCTCCTGTCCCTTCTATTAGGAAGGTTGGATGAGGCAAGGCAAGAAATGCTGGGCTGCAGTGGTCCTCAGCTCAATACCCGCAGCCTGGTATCCCTCATCACTACTCTAATTCTGCCTCTGATGATAATCATCAGACTTTGAAGTGAGAGCCAAACTGTTACCACCAATAGGCCATTGCCACTGCAGCTTTTCTGACAGCACATAATAAAAAGTAATGATTTGAGGCCAGCCTGGTCTACAGTCAGTTCCAGGACAACCAGGACTACACAGTGAAACCCTGCCTCAAAAAACCAGAAGATTAAAAAAATTAAAAAGTAATAGTAATAACCACCATGTCTTAAGAACTACTGAGTGCCTAGCCCTGGGCACATATGACCTCTGATCTTCATAACATCCTAGAGCACTGATTCTCAACCTGTGGGCCATGACTCCTTTGACAGACTTCAGTCTCTAACAGTATTTACATTATACTTCATAAGAGTAGCAAAATTACAGTTTTGAAGTAGCAATGAAAATAATTTTATGGTTGGGGGTCACCACAACATGAGGGACAGTAAGTATTAAAGGGTCACAATGTTGGGAAGGTTGAGAACCACTGGACTAGAGGAACTGATAGGAAGTGAAAGGTACATCTATTCTAGTTTCACAGATGAAGCCAGACACTTAGATGTGCCACCTTGAGCAACTCCATCACTTCATGAAGCCTTTATTTCTTGTCTCTGAAATGGGTGGTAACATCACACCTTCTAGCTCCTGGTGGAAAATAAAATACCAGTGGGGCGGACTATTGTGGGCTCTGAGACGTATGTGGCCTTAGTGGAGAGATGATTGTGGTTGACCTTCATGTAACCTTGTTGTGGTACACCCAAGGATTTAGCCTATGGGGTGCAGCAAGGCTGCTAAGTCCTGAAGTCCACTCTGAGTCTCAGTGTGCTCCTCTGAAAATAGGGCTTGTGCTTGTTAAGATGCAGTTCTACACGTGCTCAGCAGCTGTGTTATTAGCAGCACCTTCTCAGTTGCACCCAGCCTGCAGATAAAGCTGTAGTTAATGGGTGGTGGGTTTCAGTAGAGAGGAAATGCATTAATCAGGAGTCTTGTTGGACCTCCTTGGTACTCCACCAATGGAAAGTGCTTAGTAGATGCTTATAAAATGAGACATAGGTTTAGGGACTGTCCCCTACCCCTCAAAACATCAGTAGCAGAAGTAGAGACTGACCATTACATGGAAAGATTCTAGGAATCTGTTTCCTGGCATGTTTTTATTAACTGTGAGAGACTCTGACCAACAGATCATCCTCCTGCTAGAAAGATCCTTGAAATGTTTATTTAGACACCATGATCTGTCCTAGAAGCTAGAGTCAGAGTGTCAGGCAATATCTTCGATATCAGATAGATAGATAGATAGATAGATGGATGGATGGATGGATGGATGGATGGATGGATGGATGGATGGATGGATGGATGGAGATATATAGATACAGATAAAGAAAATGACAACAAATTTCTTAGCTATTAGACCCAGGACATGTTACCTAGCCTCTATGAATGGCTTTCACTCTTGAGATTTGGAGGGTGATCATGCAAGTTGGAGAACTTTTGCAGTTAAATGAGCAACAGAAGTGAGCCATGTATTTCTGGGGCTGTAGCAGAGTAAGCCTTTATCCAGGGGTACTGTTCTTCTTTCTAAAGAATGCCGAGGGGGCTGGGCGGTGGTGGCGCACACCTTTAATCCCAGCACTTGGGAGGCAGAGGCAGGTGGATCTTTGTGAGTTAGAGGCCAGCCTGGTCTACAGAGCGAGATCCAGGAAAGGCACTAAAACTACACAGAGAAACCCTGTCTCGGGGAAAAAAAAAAACACCGGGAGGAAGTAACCTGTGTCCTGGTGACAGTTCCAGTGACTCTGTATTTTCTTTACTTGCAGAAGGTCAGAAACATGGCCCTAGATGATGTCGTGATCTTGAACGTGGACACCAACACCCTGGAAACCCCTTTTGATGACCTCCAGAGCCTCCCAAATGATGTGGTGGGTAATGTGTGTGATTTCTGGCTCCTGAGTGCTTGTGCTGTGAGGTGGAGAGACAGTATGGTACAGGGCCTAATATGTCACAGGATAACAGGTTCAGTGTTGTCACAGGTAACTAACTAACTGTTCAATGATGCTATCAAAAAAATGTACTCACTATGTAGGTTTCCTGAAGATGGCAAATTGCAAAGTGCCTTTTTCTGAAGTGGCTGTTAAAGAAGGAAAGTAACTTGAGTAAATTATTTTCTCTCTCTGGCCTGTTTCCTACCTTGAAGAAGATTTGCCAGGAAGGTGCTTAGGATTATTATGGCAGATGGGAAACAGTCATCTGATACCTGACAACATGCTTACATGTTGCCAATGTTCCACAAATGATACACACATTAAAATAATGAGTTGCAGGTCAATAGGGGGACCACTCATATCCTCCAGGTCCTGATATGCTTAGCACTGGCAAGTGGGGCACTCTTCTGTATGCTGGCCACAGTGGAAGTTTCCAGCTTTGGGCCCTCATCTTATTCAGGATTGCAGAGTTGGGGAGGGGGTGGCCACAAAGGTACTTGTGCATGCAAAGGAAATCATAGATTGGATTCTATAATGTTACCTGAGCTTCAGAGTCTCACAAGTAGAAAATCCTGTCCTGTTCAATGTTACTGCATTTGGCACAGGCTATTCTCAGTGTATTAACGTGTCCACAGTTGACCTGACAGTATTTTTTGCCAAAGCTCCTAAAAGAGTCTACCTCTTAAGCATTTTCCCAGTCCACATCTTCCTTGACATAACCTACTCCAGGCTCTTGATCCCTGTCCTGAGGATGTAGCTCGGTTGGTAGGGAGTTTGCCGACTGTGATCAGAGCCCTGTGTTCAGTCCCCAGCACCATATAAACTAGAAATGGTGAAATGTGTCTGTAGTCCCAGGAGGGCCAGAAGTTCAAGATATCTTCAACTACATAGCAAGTTTGAAGCTAGCGTGAACTACATAAGACCATATGGTTAAAGGTGGGGATGTGGGGGAGACCAATGATTTTTTTAAGGGTTTTTTTTAATAAAAGGAAAATCTGATAAGCACCATCTAAGGGGAAAATAATTGAAAGTTTTGGGTGAGACTGTCATGCAGGGGGCACTTTCTGAGCAAAGGAGTTGGAGACTATATAACAGACCTGTTACACACCAATCTGCCCTTGTGAATTGTACCATGCCCAATGAGCTCTGCAAGATAAGAGCTTGAGTAGGCTGGCAGTCTCAGGCTCTGAGCAGCAAGAGCAGATCATTGTGACACTCTCTGGGGATGATCATTTGTGCCCTTGGGAGGCCAAGACTTAGTCCCATCTAACTCAGCTCTTCAAAATGTTTTTTTCTCTTCCCAACAAAGTGAGAAGGGCAAGCTTCTGAGGAGCAGGCAGCGGGTGACAGTCACAGGGGACGTACAGGAGCGGGTGACGGTCACAGGGGA